TTATTCCTTAATAAAGATCGACTAAATCGGAGTTTCAATATTAAAAAAAGAAATCAACAAACTTTCGCAAAAATTTCGATCTTTTTAATTAGAATTCTTAAAAAAAAAATTTGGGTATACAGTTTCGTAGCCCATTCAATTTTAGTACAATAAAGTTTGAAGTAGCTAGGACTTACCGTTGATTTTTGATTTTTTTTTTTGTCTCTTGACAGTGTTAGTAATTTTCTCCATACAAGTGTGTTCGATGAGGAAATGCGCAACACCTTCAACAAAAAAAAAATTGCCAAAAATCAACAGTAAGTCCTAAGTATTTCAAAATTGCACTTTATTTTACTAAAATTGAATGGGTTATAAAGCTGTATACTCAAAATTTCCCCAAGAATTTTAATTAAAAATCTCTAAATTTTCACGAAATTTTTTTGATTTTTTTTTTAACATGGCATATAGTTTGAGACTTGGATTTATTTGGTCTTTGTTAAACAATAAACTATTTTTTTATAAAAAAAATAACTTGTATTAAATAACAAGAAAATAAATTGTTAAAACCTGTTCAATATGTGGTGCGCTTATAGTTATGATAAAACGAAATGCAAATTTAAGTAGCTAGGACTTAACATTAATTTTGGTACATTTTTTTTGTGGAAGGTATTGCCCATTTTCCCCATACACAAAAATTGTGGAACATACTTTGTTTGGAAGAAAATGTGCGAACAAAAATTTGCCAAAAATCAACGGTAATTTTAAGAAATTTCGAACTTGCACTTTGTTATACTAAAATCTAATGGGCTACAATACTGTATGCTCAAAAAATTCTAAAAATTTTAATGAAAAGTTTAGAATTTTGATCAACATTTGTCAAAATTCTTCGAGTTTTTGTAAATGTTCTACAAAGTTTGAAATCTTGATTTTAATGTTTTTTTTTACATAGTAAGCTATACATACATATTTTCATAAAAAGTAATAAACATTTTTTAAACCAAGAAAAGTAACCAATACTTGCTGAAATGTCTCTTCCCTATTTATATTCTCGCCACCGTATATATTTTTTGAATACATTTTTGAGGCGACTTTTCAAGTTTTTTTCTCTTTGCTTTGTCTTAAATAAAACTATATCAAAAGATGTTATGTCTTTTTATTCTAAAAAAACAAAATTGTATGTTCGGATTTGATGCTTTAGAAATTTCCGGTTTTTGGTCCACTGAAATCTGGTCACCACTTTAGAAAAACTTTCAAATTAATTTATCGATCGGTTGATTTCAGGGACATAACCGTTATGAGTTTTATCGGAAAAACGTTGTTCCATAACAGTTATTAGATGAGAAATATTTTGTATTT